CACCAGACCGGATATCGAACGACTGAGAGAGACTGTTGTGGACCAGGACTCGATGATGTCTAGTACTTGTACAGGTATCGAGTTTTTAGATTTAATTTCCCAAAAGTATATACAGTTAAATAGTGATATGACAGAATTGGAAGGTAAGGTACCAATAAGACACCAGAACAAAAATAACTGGCGCGACTCAAAGGTAATTATTTACTTAGCCAAGTGGAAATTAGGAAATAAATTGCTTAGTTAATTATGATTTGAGGCGAATATTTGCATGAGAGCTGTGTGTTTAGGTAGAGAAGAAGGCAAATTTATCATCGGAATCATGGTTGTATTTGTCTGAGTTTTCGAACTCTTACTGGAGCCCATCGTCAGAGATAAAGGCGTCAACGAAAAACATGCAAAAGTTATAGGGGGCAGAGGCTAATCAACCAGCAGTGACGTCAGTCCGAAGATGCCTGCGCCGAGAATTGATTGGAGCCTGGGCTTCGGATGAGAACTCAGTCAAGGTATTTATCGATCTGGCGCCCGCATACAGTGCCCTGCGCAGGCACCTCAGGACGGATGTTACTGACGGTTGATTTACCCCTGCTCCCTATAACTGTTGCTTGTTTTTTCGCCGACGCTTTTACTTCTGACTAAGAGGTCGAAAGCTCAGACGAATAAGACTATGATTCCGGTAATCGACACGTCTCCTTCTTCTCTACCAACGCCTACTTAATTGCTTTCACGTGCTCAGTAGTTACGGAAAGGACGCCGTTCACGGGACACTTCACTAAAATATTTACATAAAAAGGTTTGTTACAGAATATACAGCTAAATATTATCGTGCAGGGCAATCCGATTATTTCCAAATGTATTCCGCAACTTGCATAGTACCGGGAGCAGCTAATATACTTCTGCTAACAGGCTTGCCATCGAGTGAAAGTAAAAATTCACTAGGAGTAAGTTAGGATAGGAGCGCACACACAGGTAAGAGTAGGTTGAGGACGAAGTGACAAGGGCAGTGGCGAAGGAACCAGCAAAGACAAATGGACTTACACTGTGTCCGCGTTTTTGAAAAGAACCCATGGTTGCTGGGTTTGGAAATAGACATTCCCAAGACGTGAAATAGAGAGGAGATGGCGAAGGGCATCGCGAAGATGGCAGAGCTCCATGCAAGTCAAGTATTTCTTCAGGATGCCATTGACCCTAGCCAGGAACGTGACGTCATCAGGTTGCATGTTTTTCATATTAGGGATAGCGGATACGAAGAACTTGGCGAGGAAATTGAGAGGACTAGGGAACAAATAGAAGGATTAGACGTAAGAGGAATGCTACCATTTGGGTGCGCAAAATTTCCATATACTACAATTGAACCCGCGCGGTTTGAATATTTGAGCAAAACCAAGGCGATTATACTT